CTCTTGGACTATCACCCCACGCTGCTTTTGCCGTTTTACGACAGCTTGGCTCTTCTTGGGGCTGGTGCTGCTGGACAGTCCGGTACCTCTCCCTGAAGCTGCTGATTCTCCAGGGCTCAGCTTCTCTCCCAGGGCACCGGCCTCGCCCCAGGCAAGCTGTTCGGTTAGTTGATGTCTCTGCGGCCCTGCGTGGAGGGGAACAAAATGCAGAACCAGGCAGAAGTTGACAGGTGGACACGGAAACCTCTCAGTTAGTGTCTGCTTGTTGGTGGTGCGCTCTGCAGTATGTTAAGGAACCAAGGCAATCCAGACATTGGCATACACAGAAAACCAATTGACAGCAACAACTATGTCAGCTTGGCTATCGTAATAAAATCAGCAACCAGAATAGCATCAGAGTCAAACTAGACATTGACATATCTAAGAACCAATAACATAACCTTTAACCGTAGAAAAGAGATCTATCACTATAGTATAAACACCAGGACAAAGCAAGTGTTGACCTGCAGTAAATGCCTACTTAACGGAACAACTTTATCTCCACCAGCAATAGAACAGCATACAACAGTAAGCGTGGTGTTAACCACCTAAAGATTCATAAAGCTTAACTGTTATACTAATAAAGAGAGAAGGAGCGGGAAACAGGAGCATGAAAAAGTAAAATCTGAAAAAATAGCAATGGAAGACGAGAAGGAGGTAAGAAAAGTGAAACAATGGGTTCTGTGAGGAGTCTAAGGAAATTAATAATATGGGATGAAAGTAACAAAAAAAGAATAAGCAAGAAAAAAGAAAAAATAGAGAGCAAACTAAAGCAAAAAGAGAAAAACAGAAACAAAAAAGAAGACAAAGAAGAGGAGAGGGAAAAAGCTCCAAACACACACACACGCACGCACGCACGCACACACCAGCCCACAACACAGCACAACACAATAAAGGAAATACAAACAAAAAAATGAGTCCAGAAAAATATTCCTCTGTATTTTCCAGTAAGTGGTTTCCTTCCAGGACCTGCAGTCTTAGAATCCAGCAAGTCATGATCCTCTCCACCCACCTTTGCAGCTGATGCCTCGTTTGTGAGGTGTCGTCCCCTCCAGAGGCCCCTCTATCTGTAAACCCCAGGTCTTGGCAACCATCCAAATGGAGATGCCTCCCTGTTCACATGTAAGCAGGAAAGCAAACGGACCACCGATCTGTGCTAGATGCAGGCAGCAGGGTGGGGGCTCAAGCCGACTCCCAGACCCTCTGCTGGCCCTCTCAGATCCAGCCACCTCTGAAAGCCACGCTTGCCAGACCTGGACTCCTCCCCCAGAGGGTAGCGCCCGTGTTCTTCCTCAGCTTGGCCTTCTCAGGGGATCTGTGCCCAGCCACACGCCCTGCACGCTGTCTCCCACGGCTGGCTCTCACCCACGCTCAGTTGTATGGTAACCTGGGAATCCTGGGGTGCTCTGTGGCTCGGTCCCACACAATCAACCCCTTCCAAGAACGGCACCCGGTTAACCCCTCTCTGGCAGTACGGTGGGTGCCACCCTGGATTTCTTCTCCGACTGTGCCCCTCAAGGGATCAGCCACTCTCGGAGTAAACCCCATGCCGCTTTTGCAGTTGACAACAGCCGTGGGCTTTTCTTGGGGCCGGCACTGCTGGCTCATGTGATTTCTCCCTGAAGCTGCACACTCGCCGGGGCAGGGCTTCCCTTCTGTCCTGGGGCACTGGCTAAATGCACGATCAGATTAGTCGGTCAGGGCCACTCTAGCCTTGTGCTGAGAGGACCCACAATGCAAAGCGGCAGTGTCTGCAGGTGGACAGGGCCAGAGAGCAGCATCCACGGGGCTCCGCACGGCTGATCTTCCCACCATGCAGCACAGCGGCTCCAACTAGGGAAGCATTTACATCGTTATAATATTGAATCTCCTGTCCGTAAACATGGTTATCTCTTCATTTATTTAGATTCTTTTTAATGTGTTTCAATAAAGTTTTCCAATTTTTTTTTTTTTTTTTTTTTTTTTTGTCTTTTTGGGACAGGGTCTCACTATGCAGTTCAGACTGGCTCTGAGTTCACTTCGTAGCCCAAGTTGGTTTTGAACTCACAACGATCCTGCCTC